CCCGCGTTTGGCTTTTGAATGAAACCACAGATGAGCAGCTGCCTCTCTGGTTAATGAAACCACTCCACAGTGACCTCCAGCAGCCCTTATCGATACTATCTACTTTTTAATACAGGCCTGTTGCCTCACTGTGTACCACTTTACAGTATAGAGCCTGCCTTTATTATTCCCACTGACCTCAGCCTTAGTCAGCTCCTGACTTCACTGCACTTGACATTTCTCAGTACCTGAGAATCTGGACTAGAGGTCACAAAAAGGATTTGAGGTTGTCTAGTAAACTGTCATATAGTTCATAAACGACTTTTAAAATGCAGAAATGCACAGTTATCCTGTGAAGCTCTTTAAATTAGTTAGGATGAAATGCAATTTTTTTATACCCACTAATATTTATATTTTTTTTTTGATAAAAAGTTTTTATCAACTGGTCCAGACTTTGTTCTAAGTTTTTATCAACTGGTCCAGACTTTGCTCCCACCAAAGCAAGTGATGATTTTTAAAGAAAACTTTATCTACTGTGTTTATTGAGAATTTATTTATTTAGTGATTTTTTTAAAAAAAAAGCAAATTCTTCAACTACATTTTCATGTGAAAAAGATTTTAAACTAAAAGTCAAATGTATTTTCTAGGTTTTTCTCCTGACACTGTAAATCCTTTTTCTCTGATTTATGCAGTGCTCTCAGTGGATGACTCTGTATGACTGCAAACTAGTTGGATTTTTTTCACCAGTAGAATTTCTACCTATTACCTTCCCAACCACTTTTAACAGGAGAAAAATAAAAAATAAAATAAAGAATTGTAAAATGACTGCACATTCTATCTTTAAAAACATTTCTATGCAGATGACTGTTGTTGCCACCTCTGGCTGTTGTCGGCTTGTCTGCAGGCCGATTGCTCCCTGTAGGTCTCACAACACCTTAACCAACCACAGAGCTCCTTTCCTGAGTGACAGCTTCTTACATTCAGATTTATGCATTAAAGTTCTACTCCTGGTCTGCTGCCTATTTTACTTTTACTTTTATTTTTTTTACACTTTGCTTTCTTCTCTCCCTCATGGTTGCGGATACAGAATGTTGATGAGAACGGTGATGGCTCGGGGGTGTCGGGTTAGTTCTGTGTTGTCACAGTCACTGCTGCGATGTGCTTGTTAGTGGCTAAGACACAGCACAACCACAACCATTTGCATCATGGGAAACCGTAGCAGGCCACACCTTGATATTCACGTCCACCCTCACGAGCAGAGACGAGTCCTTGTGAATACATTAATGCGAGAGGTTGGAAAGAAGTAAAAACAGTTTAGTTCCCCTATGTCCCTCCTGAAATCACCCTTGTCCACCGCTGTGCCTGGAATTATTAGTACTTTCTCTATAGTTCCAGGCTCAGGAGGATTTCAGCAGATAAACATGGATAAGAGGCAGCAGCTGGAAAATGGATGTTGCACGCATACAACCAAGCGAAAGCTGAAGCACTCAGCCGTTTGTCATATGTAATGAGAAACTTGAGTTTTTCTTTACTTATCCTCCAACGCCTTGAACTCAACAGACAGAAAATTCAAATCTCAAAAAGAGCTGTGAAAACATCTGTACACATTAGGAGACAATTATTCTGAGTGTGATTTTAACAAAGTGACACATTTGGCTTTTAGTAGCTGTGCCTCTGAGTAATAATCTGTGTACCATTTCTCCTGCATTATTCATCGGGGGGCAGTGGAGAGCCGCAGTCCAAGGACTTTGTGATATTGATTGACAGTTTAGCACTGACCGACTGTAGTGGCTCCGTTTTTTTCTTTTGCTGCCGCCTGGTCGTACACTGAGTACAGTGTGTTGTAACACAGCCCTCTCGGTGACATCTGGCCAGACCACAATCATCCTGTGTGTGTGTGCCGGTGTATTCCTCTGCCTCCTTATCTTTCCATCTTAATATCTGATTCAGTCCAACATTTCCCCTGTCGTTCTCTTTGTTGTTTCTGCTTTCTTCTTCTTTCTTCAATGGCCAGGCAGCTGCACAGCTCTAACAGAAAAGAAGCACAGTGAGATATGGCACTGCATTCTAATGCCTCATACCGACACTGCCCTTACTGTATCACTCACGTATCTCCCCTGTGCTGCAACGATGACAGATAATTTGGAGGGTTTTTTTCTTTTTTTTAACCCCACAAAAACCTATGCAGTGTTGGGTGGGTATAAGAATGTATCAATGTCAATCATCTTATGTATGGTCTGTAAACAGACACACTAGGATAGCCATCGTAGACGCAGGTGAAAGATTCAGGGCCGTTCTGCCCTTGAGCAATGTGGACTCCTTGAAGCTCAGGCTGTCAAATTTAACATGTTAATCATATTAATTAATTAATTTGTGAAACTAATCAGACTAAAATCTTTTGTTGGATTTTAACACATACTGTATATAGGACAGAACGGCGGCGCTGTCGATAGACACCTTAAACACCAGCCAACGCCAAGATGTACAGTAATGACTAAAATCCGCCAATTTATTAAAGCAACACCTTAAGTTATACTTGCTGTTATTTGTCTTTCTGTTTCAGCAAAATATTATAAAACAACATATTTGGGAATGTTGTTTTGACTGGCTTCATCATGAAGATGTGACTCGTTTGACAGCCATACTGAAACCATTTATCCATCAGTGGGACAACGACTCTGAGTCATCTGCTCGGAGAGCTATCCCCAATTTTCCCTAATGTGTCACCTAATTGCTTGTCTGCACTTATGTGAGGCTGTTGCATTTACTCACACCAGTGCACAGACCTGAATGAAAATAGACCTCTGTGGTTAAATTGAGGATTTTTAGAGCAATAACCCTGCCTTTGGGGTAATCCCTGAATCAGAAGCAGCTTACTTTATACATCTGACGCACCTTTTCCCCTGATTGTATTCTGGCCTCGTGTCGTGCCACCCAGCAACATCAAAGAGATGCAGGGCTGATATAATGCATCCTTTCAGCATTATCTCCTGCTTTTTCATCACAGTAATGGGCAGTTTTGCATCCAGAATTTGGAATAGAATGACAAAATTTAGATTTCAAAAGGGCTTGAATTCTCTCAGATGAGGTCAGAGTCACATCTGTGCGCTCAAAGCTTCGAGTCAAAGTCCCTTAAAGGACAAAAAACTGTCTTAGTCGAAATTATCTTAATTTTTGTCATTTTGTTTTTGATCCAAGTCACTGAATAAAAAATGTGAGCAAAAGTCACCAGGGTGTCAAGTCAGGTCACTATAGAAAGATCCAAGTTGGTGCAAATGGCTTATATCACACTCTAAGCACTCTAAATATCATCTTTTCTGCATATTAAATGCCTTTATTTTTATTCTTTTGTATAAAATACACAGTATTGCACATAATAAATCAATTGCACTTCTTCAGGGTAAATATAAACATCTAGATCTGTCTCGCTGCTACAGTCAAACTACTTTAAAGGAAAGTGACCTGTACAAGAGTAAAGGTGTAAACCACACAGAGGGAACAGAAAGAAGCATGGTGGCGGAGTTTGTAAAGGTCGTAATAATGGAATCTAGTTTGCCAGCTATTGTTATGACAGCAGATAAGATTATGGGATTTTTGCCCTTGAAACCACTTTGGCAAATTTCCTGTCTTTCAGGGCAGTGTTCTTGGCTCAGAGAGTGACTCCAGTTGTTTTCTCCGCAGGCGCTGTTGTAAATACAGTATGTTGTTGTCTTTCATATTTTGGCTCCTCTGCCACTTGCTGAAATGGTTTTAGCCCTATTTGATTCCATCCTCTCTCTCTCTCTCTCTCTCTCTTTCTCTCTCTCTCTCTCTCTCTCTCTTTCTCTTTCTCTCTCTCTCTCTCTCTCTCTCTATATATATATATATATATATACTGTATACTTTAAACTATTTTTGTTTTTGCTGTACATAGTCCTTGCACCCTGTATGGAGTTACTACATGACCATTTACTCTACAGTCAGAAAAAGCAATTTAAGGGTGATTACAATATTAAGGTGAATGTTTAAATAATCTGGACAGAGGAGAAAATATTATATTTTTAACCAAAAAGGTTGTAAAAATCATGACACCCTGCACTGTAGACAGTGATGAGCAGCGGGACACTCACTCTGCTTGTGTCTTTCATAGCAGCTGATGTAGGATACCGCAGAGATGCCACCGCAGATGCCGTTTTTTTTATTACCCAACATGTGCTAAAAGCTCATCAGTGGAACAATGAAAGATAAACATTCTCTGCAGCTCAGTCATAAACTATATATATGAACTTGGTTTCTTTAAGAGAGTGCTCTTTACTCATCATTTAATTTTAAAAAATGTGGATGAAAAGGAAATTCAAAAGAATGTATTCCACTAAACCTTAAAGTGTGTGTGTACATATATATATATATATAATTTAATAGAAAAAATACATTGATGTCTAACTTTGTAAATTATTGTTAAGAAAATAATTGTTATTTATTGTTTCTTCACTTCAAAATCAAGGAGACATTTTAGTAGTTTGTAGAAAGTTCATCATTCTCCAATAAACATGTCCGACCTTTTAATTCTTCAGGTCATTTCTCCGGATAATATCAAAGTCCTCTAGTCCGCCCGTGACAGTTGATGTACGAGATACTCAAAAAAGTTTGTTTGTTTGTTTTTTTCGCAGAAAAAAGTATCCTGAAGAGTTTTTTGTGCTTGTGCTGTTGATCTCGAAACACTGTGGTTGAAACAGCAGCCTCTCCTGGAGGCCGCCAAGTAGGTTGGAAAAGTCAAAAGTGGTGAATAGAAATATGACAGTCACTTAACCGATATAAGAGAATAAATTCCCAGGGACATTAGCTTGAAAAACAACCAAAAACTTGCAAATAGACAGAAATCCATTTTGTCTCCTCACCTTGCTGATTCCCACAGCTGTTATGATTTCAAACAACAGTCGAAGAAATCAGTTTTAAGATAATGGCAAATCCATTTTCAACTTTTCATGGAATTCAAACACCCATTTCACATCCTATCAGCTCGGGGAGGTGCGGGGGTGGAGGGTGGGGGGGTTCAGTATCCACAAGTGGAGCTTTTGCTTGTGATTTTGAGGTTTACAAAAAGTGTGATGGCAGATAAATGGAACAAACCGCGGACGTCCGGACACAGTATATTAATCCTTTGTTTAGGTAGCACGGGGGAGGAGACACTTCATTCAATGTCACAGAAACCAGAGTTTCCATCGAGCATGCTTCTTGGAGTCGGCTTTGGATTTGCGTTTGGGGGTGGAGGTGAAGGCCTCCTGTGGATAAGGCAGGGGGGCTAAATGGATGTCCTCGGTGGGGCAGAGCCTCTTCATCAATGGCTGCAATTTGTCCTCCTGCTGCTTGAAGTCCAGCTCCACACTATTGCAAAGACACACAAACACAAAACTCGATCAACCTCTAACACACACACCCATGCAGATGCTTATTGCATTTTATTGTAATCTAGAGTGTTTACGTGCTCTACGTGTTCTGCCGCTCATGTAAATTGGCTTTTCCTGCTCGCTGCTGTTAATGAAATCCACACGCTATTTTCATGAATCACTTCAAAGCCAGTCGGGAAATAATAATCCACGCCATTTTGAGTAGAAATTGTAGTCAGCGCGCTTACAGAAGGGACGAGAACGAGTAAATCGGTGTGCAATCAGTGTAATTCTCAGCAACGACGTGGAGGGTGCAGAGACGTATTGTTGTTGTTTTGAGAATAAATGCTGTCTGAATTATTGGGGCTGCATCACAGTGAGTTGGTGAGGTTTGGATTACTTCAGTTTTTACCTTCTCTGCTTTTGCCGTGTGATTGCACTCATGGTTCAAAAGGGAAACCTCAAATTTATCCAGGTACAGGCTTCATTTGAGGTGTTATTTTTCATCCATGTTTTAACAATAGTCTCAACATGTTTTGACTAGTACATCCTTCTGTTTACTCTGTATTGTGGTCTCACTTGACCCTGGAAAAGGCTTCTGTCACAGCATGGCTCATCTGACCTAGACTTGCTGTTTGCTTTCTCTGCCACTTTTGTTCTTTTTCTGGGGAGAAGACACACATTACCAAAAGGGGGGGCGGGGCTGTTGTGCTCAAAAGGGCTAAGGTGTGAAGGGAGTGGTCGTTATCTACACCCTAACCCTATACCCTAAATCTTCTTGCCCATGAAACAGGTTTTAAACCAGCTGTGAAGATGGTTTGATGTCAGTCTTTAAGAAGTTCAGTTTTATCTTGAGCTTTGATCCCTTTATGTCATGTGTAACAGAGAGCTGGATTTTTTTTTCTGAATTCCACAGTCACACTGAGTGTTTTTTTTTTCTTGTTGTACTCCACCTTTCCCCACAGTGTCAGGGGATTTATCTGGACCAGTCATCACTGTAATCCTACGGCAGCACACATCTGAATACTAGGTGCTGAGTGAGACTCAGATTACGGCCTTTGCCGCAGCAGAGTGTGGAGAACTTTAATCTGCTAAAGCTTTCCATTGCCACCAGCTCGACTTGGCTGCGTGGGCTTTTCAACACATAGAACGGCGTAATAGTATCACGGTCCAGGACTTGAATCTATCCGTTTCTCTGCATACAGTAGATGCTGTTATTTTATTTATTTTGTTTGGCTGCAGCAGCAGGAGTGTGCAGTGTAGATTGCTGAGGTGAGAGAGGCAGGAGGCTGCTGCTGGGATTGAAATCAAATCATGTGAAAAAATGTTTGGGTTTTTTTCTGTCCTCATCTAAGACAAGTACATTAAATCTGCTGGGTGCAGGTAGTGATTTGTATTCCAGTAGTGTTAAGAGCACTGATCTCAAGGCGCAGTTAAATAATGGCACTCCCCACCCCCCAAAAGCGGAGGCAGTCAAAGTAAGGTGTTGTCGTAAAGCTTGGCAGTTTTAATACGCACTGGTCGTTTGTTGTTGATTAGAGCAGACCAGACCTGGGTGTGTGTGTCGGTGACAGGGACTCAGGTAAATGTTGGGTCGCTGAATTGGACACTTCCCAGTCTGTTGGTAACGCACCACAAACGCTGTAGCCTACATTACTAAATCAACAGCCGTGGCTTGTGCTGGCGTCCGTCCGCTTCAGTTTGTGTGACGTCAGACTTGACGTGTATCCATTAGAGTCTAAACATTTACATTGCCATAAAATTAGAAACTTTGAGGTCGAAATAGGTTTAAAATCGTTGTTGACGTATACGAAGCCAGGTTAGCCCTTTCCGGGGTCGTCTCGCTTGCGGCTTTAGCTGCGGAGATTTGGAGATCAAAGCTTTAACAAATTATATTCCTCATTTCATCTGCACAATTACTTACCAGTTAATCAAAAGAAACAGTGAATGTCAATTATCTGCAGAGGAAAAACACTGCAGTCAAAATATACAGCCATGCACAGTGAATGTCCGCTGTTTTGTCTGGCTCAAAATTACTTTTTGATGCATGGTTTATGATATTTGTCTGGAAGTTTCCTGTTCAGCTCAATAAAATCAGGAGGATGAAATATTTGCCGAGACGACCAATAAAAGAATTGCAATAAATTATGGCTAAGTGTCCTTCTACCTGTCTAGACATCTGCAGTTTTCTTCATCTAAATCTCACTTTCTATCACACAGCCGTTCCTACAGTCAGCAGACAGGATGTTGTTGCTGTTTTTTCTGATGGTGCTTTTTACAGGTTGCTCATATCTTTAAACAATTTAAACTGATTCAAAAACGTTTTTTTTTTCTCCAAATAAAATAAATACTGACACTAGCTGAAGCCCTGCTTGTAGCAGAATCCCATCGTAAACCTGCCACTGGAACCGTTACTCATGAGAAACTGAAACATCTTTTGCTCCGTTTCAACCTGAGTTGCTTCCGAAATTATTTTCCTGGATATATTTCAAATTTCCTCTTAAAAACTTTCCGCTACATGCTTTTATCCAATTTGTCTAATTTACCCCTGTGGGATTCAAATGGATTTCATTACAGTACACTTCTACTTTTACTGAATCCTAATGGGTTTTATTTGTTTTGCATAGTTTCGGAAAACATTTTCTAAAAAGCACTCCAATGGCATTTTTGCAGCAATATTGTTTCGGAGCCCTCAGGCCTATGATGTCGTTAGAAGTCAAACTGAAGCGCACATGTGGAACAGAATTCACTGGTTACACTGTTAAGAGCCTCCTTCACTCCATGTAACTAAGGCATCATCAAAGCCTGGTGGGATCAGTGTCTGTGTTTATCACTGTGTAATGAAAGTGCAGCAACTGCTTCCATTGTGCTCCAGAAAAAAACAAAACAAAACATGGATGCACGCTGTGTAGAGAGGCGTTGGTTAGAACTATATGTTGTGTCATTTTGTTTGGGCTGCTGTATGTGAGTGACTCAGACACAAACAGGATTCTCCCTGCTCTACAGTGGAAGCCTGTTATCCTGCTTTGACTGTCACTGGTTTCCACCTTTCTTTGATCTTTTTCTTTCCCATTTCAGATTCGGAGTAAAGGTGGAGAGTATTAATATTGTGTCAGAGTGGTCATAGCTGTGTTTCATTGTGACTCTCATGAAAGAGGACTGGGGAAGGTGACCACTGGCCACAAATACAATACAGCACATTTGTCAATCTGCCTGAAGTCTGGAAACCCCATTCTGTGCAATATGATAGATGTGATTAGATACATTGTAATTGTATTGAGTCACATTGAATCTGATAAAATTTAATGTATTGTAATTGTATAGTTAGGCCTGTCAGGCAAAAAAAAAAAAAATCCCCCAAAAAACAAATCTTCCTGATCTAATGCAGTTTGATCAAACATTATTTATTTGTTCTAAATGTACTTTAGATGAATGAACACGAAGGCGTTGTGTTTGCTTTATGCAAATGCCTGTGTGTAAATCCTGATGTGTGTAAAACAGATGTGTTAATAGTAACTTGCGTTAAGTAGTTACAGTATTTTCCTGTTACTTTTTGCAGCCCTGATACTTTTATTAGTTGCTTTTGTTTTGGTGATAAAGCCCCCTTTTCGAGCATCTGTACTGAATATTGCAGTATAAAGAATAGACACAATGTCCCAGTTGTTCACATTAAAACTTGAGGTGCAGCTTTCGTAGCAAAGTTTCTGACATCCTTGAAACAGACGCAAGAATAGGGATGTAATTAGAATGAATTAATAATTGTTACATCTTTGAAAAATAGTGAGAAATCTTTCATTGAGAGATTTATTAGTCTCTCCCTCGCTCACTTATCATTTATGTCTCTTCATAGAAAATGTCACGAGCCCTAATGCACCGCTGACTCTGTTCATATCATTCTCAAAGCAGAAAAGTTGGGCTGAGAGTTCAGCCCATCACAGCAGAACAGACCAAACCAGTCGATTCAGTCCAAATCTTTAACCTCCCCTCCTCCCACTCTGGCTCCGTTCCCCTGCCTCCTATTTGTATCCTGTCATACTCTGGGTATTTTAATCATGTCTACAAAAAAACAAAAACCTGAACGACTCCAAATATGTAACCATTGCCATTCCAAACTTCCTGCTGTCCTTTCTCTGACTTTGTAAAAAAAACCCAGTGCGTCTTTATCCCCTGTCTCCTCCACCCAGTCAGTCCCTGTCAGTCGCCCTGGTTCACAGCCTCATCCTGCCTTTTCTTCTGTTCTCCCTTATCTTATGCTGGTGTGAGTGTGCTCCTCCTGACCTGTCCTCACTGTCCCCTCGCACTGCCTGTCCTATGGATTCCCTCCTGTAACCATAGTAACCAGTTACCAACATGTTGGAAAACATTATCACGCTCCCACAAAGAGAGAGATGTTCCCCCGGCAGAGTTGTGTGGCCTCTCTGTTCGATAATTTCCATATGTTACGATGTAATGAGCTCCTTAGCTCATGGCGATGCCTAATTGATTTTCATAGCCCCACGAAATAGATTGGAGACTTCTTGTCCTTTAAATACCCATTCCTTTGTTGATTTTTCACTGTCTATTTGCACCACAGTGTTATTCACGGGGCTGGTTTAATGATCAGCCGCTGCTCCTCATTTTTGAGTTAATCTCAAAGATGTAGTCCAGGCTAATGACTGCCTCCGCAATCAGGTCCCCTAATCTGGTTGGTTTAGATCTGTCCCCTGGTCTGATCAGCACATTAGGTTATATGAATTTAGTGTGAGATTACAGTGATTCTACGTCAACGGTCATCATGGCTTAACATCTGTGGTCCAAAAATAAATGAAACGCACGTCCAGTCCACACAACCTTTTTCTCCGTCTCATTTAATTTTCCCTGTACTTTCCATGCGCATCGTCTCTCCTGCACATTCAAGGGCTTCTGGTTCTGTCCTTATCAGAACCAGATATTACATCACCTGGTGTGGTGGAAAGAATTGCAATATTTTTTTCATCTATATACGCTTTGGTTTTAATGGCATGCACATTAAGTTTGGCTGCACTGCAGGTCATTAGAGACAGAGACAGAGAGCGATAGAGAGATGCCCTGCTCTGGGTAAACATTGGGTTAGAAAGGAGAGTAAGTAAGAGGAGATAAAAGACAGTCAGACTAAGTTCACGATGGTTCAGAATAGAGAAAAGTGGGACCAGATGAGGACGAGAGGCTACAGCAGCTTCTCCATTCTGTTTGAAGTACACAGAGCACCGCGCTTTATTGATCTGGCTCTGTTGTTATGGCACTGGGATAATGATATATACTCCTGGACTAATTTAATATGCTGAAGAGTACATGCCTGGCTCCCACAATGTGCAACGTAAAAATGATTAATGGACCCAAGTGTTGTCTCTGGCCACGACAGCAACCTTATCATAAACACAGGAGTCGGTGCTTTGGCCCGAGCACAAAGACCAAACACGTGTAGAAATGAATTCTTATCTCTGATAAAGACATCTATTCCATAGTGCAGTATTCCGTGTGCATACTGTGTATTTTTTCACTTCACTCTTCCTCCCTCCTCTGTGTTCCTCCTCCTCCTGAGAGGTGGTTTTCATGGGGATCTAAGTAATTAGATTGCCATTTAATCTCCCTGCCTGTGTGAATACGATTGCTATATTTGATTCTGTGTCAAATCAACACAATTCACCATGTTGAGGTAGACTCTCACAGGAGATCAGGGGTCAATTTTACAGATTTCAGACATCTCACTCAGATTTTTTTTTTACTCCTTTATGCAGTGGAAACACTGGCCGAGATGTTCTGTTCTTCCTCTGCAGATGAAGCATTTCACCTGAGTGGAGAGTAAAGTAACGTGTAAAAACAGTTTTAATGATTACCTTGCACCCTATATTATCTTGTGACACAAGATAGTGTGCTAAATTTAGCAATAGGTATTTTCTCTTTGATGCTGTATGAATGAGAGCTTTATGTACAATACATAATATGTACTGTATATATGTATGTACATATACATACATATATGTATGAATACCAATCGATTATATGTATCATAATGTACATTATTGTTATTGATGTTGTGTCCAGCAGAGTAAATATTGATAGTATGTTCAGTAAGTCAGAGGGAACCAGGTCCCTGTCTGCTGCTGGACAAACAACTAAACAACTAAACAATTAAACATGGAGGTAACTCATTTCTGACAGGAGACAGCACTGCTGCTCTCATTCCAGCTGCAGGCTTTCACCCAAGTCAATGTCTTTATAATCCCCATGCGCTGTTTTCAGCCAATCAGAGTGCCGATCAGGTCACCTGGCTGCTCTCACCTCATGTTGACACTGAATGGTTTTAAAAGCCACCGTTCTTGTTGTCGCCCCATTGGCCATGCAACGGCCCCTGCTGTGATTTAAACACCCTTTGTACCCGGGATGGACCTTCTTGAGCTGGAACATCAGAGGGAGTCTGTGACCTGCACCTTCTTTTTCAATCGAAGTCGGTCCAGAGGCTTATCATTTATTGAGAGCAATGATTTAAATGGCTCTTCAGAGCTAAATGCCTGCTGAATGCAGGACCAGTGTCTACTAAAAACACTGTTATTGATCGCTTCTCACCCTCCTACCCATTTATCTTTTTTTCCCTGTTCATCATTTTCACCTCTCTCTTAGATTAGACAGAATCAAGAGTGTTTTCAAAATACGGTATGGTTTTATACAGTTTGGAGAGACTATGCCATGCAATGTTGAGTGGAAATTGAATGAATCCATAATTGATACAGGTATTTTAATCAGGTTTCACTTTAAACATTCATGTTGACCTGAGGATGTCCTGCTAATGCTTTTGTTTGCTTTGCAGTTTAAATTTAAATGTTGACTGCTTCCTAATATTTAGCACTCATTAAATCTGCTGACTTGGTGACCTTTACTACAACTCAAATCATAGCACATCGTCCAACATGTTTTTTTTTTTTTTGTTTTTTTTTTTGAAGTGTTGACAATGTTGCTAACTCAAGATTTCTTTTTTTTTGTTTGTTTGTGTGAAATGCATTTGCAAGTGTGCAAAAACCCATCAGCATGAAGCAAGGATGTTGTATGTGTGCTGTCTGGATGACAAATCATTTCGTCTTTTCACAGTTAGTGTCCCCTCTGCTCTGAGTTTCACCGGCGTACCCTTTTGTTTCCTGACCACATATCAGTTAAGAATCTCTCGTTAAAAACAGAATTGTGAAGTGGCAACATCACGGTCAGAAAAAGACATGTAAATTCAACGTGTGTCAGTGGCACAAATCTCTAGCGGCTCATTAACAGCAGCCACATCATTCTTGCGTCCCCTGCCTCTTCTACACCACTGTCGTGTCTCTCTCTCTCTCTATGAGGGAGAGCAGTGATTTGTGTGATCTGGTACTTTAATAGTCACGGCTGCTCACCTGTAAATAATGCATGCGCTGTTCCGGCACGTGTCACAGTTGGCTGTGTCCTGTCCGGTTCGATAGGAGAGTCTGCGGGGGAGATGAGAGTCATGAATGAGTAATTATACGACTTGTTAAGCTGCTCCCTCACACCTTCCCTTCTCATCTGGTTTGTCACCCCTTGTTAGTGGGACCACAGTAAATGAGGGTGATGAGGAGCCAGGCTGCCCTCCTGTGTGGCCTTTGTCCAGTAGCCGGGCAGGAAGGGCACAGTGTTGGCCATTAGCTGTGGTTGACAGATTGAAGGTCAGATAAGCAGGATGAGCTTGGAGACTGCACTGAAACAACAGTTTCACCAACAGGGTTTTTCTCTCAATTAAACTTGAAGAAGGAAAATAAAAACCTGGGCAGAAAAAGTGGCTGGAAAAAAGTCCAACTTCCTGGAAACACCCAAGATATGACCATTTGTCATACGATGTATACAAGTGACAAATTTAAAAACATTTTTACACTGGTTAACAATGAATAATACATTATATTAAACAATATATTAAACAAAAGTATTTGTATTTATAAAAATATAAACATTGGTCAAACTGTTTGCCTTTAAAAAAAGACATAGAGCTGTTTGACATCGGCCAAGTTCCCCCTTTGGTGTGGCTATTTTATTGTACTTGTGAGGATATTTTGAAAAAAAAAAAACATGTCTCAATACCTTCAGCTTTTACTTACTGGCAAAATTAGCTACAGAAATAGGACATCTGGAAATGCCAGTCTGTGTTGGACCACTTGTTATTGTTATTTTTTACTCATGTACTATGTGACCTTAAGCTGCAGTACTATGTGCTAACAACAACCATATTTCTCCTTAATAAACCAATCAAATCAGTGTGAGCTTTCGGCCTTGTTTTCCCTCATGCCTGAATCCATCTCTTGGTGAAAGCCGTCCCTTACAGGATGTGTGCAGAGTGTGGCATGAATTATCTTCAGCGTGAAGGATTTTTCTGACCATATATTCGTTGGCAGTGGTGCGGGGGCTGCATTTGGAAATTGAATGGGTTCACAAAGCAGATAAAATCTGACAGTTTTGTTTAGGACAGCAGCTCGTTGGCATTAAACACTTGGTAATTTCTCTGAGATATTGATTTGACAGATTCACATTCTAAAACATCAATAACATTTTATGTAACCCCAGTATGTCCTTATATTGTTCTGTCATCAGTTGACTCTGGGTTGAAGTATATGGTGATGAATCCACTTCCCATGATGGATCTCCATTTTCTCTAGGGGCAGCAATAGACTGTAGGTTGACTCTGGATGGAACCGTTTGCTCACACGCCTTAAAGGATTCAATAGCTTTCTCATTGGATTAGAATGTGGCCGTGTACATATTGATGGATATTGACTGACAGGAATTTTCCTCTGTAGAATTAATGATACCACAAAGGAAGCACTGTGGACTCACTTGACCAGTGACAAGGAATTGATGGAACCCCACACCCTTATGTTCATGTCCTATTAAGCTGCATCATCAGAAAAAGACACATTTATATTTACCTACTCTAGAGTACACGTTAAGCTTTTTACATCTAGTCATCAACTTCTGGAGAAGCAGCATTAGCTTAGTCAGAAGTCAACAGAGAAAGACTACTGTAAGTGAAAAATGTCTAAATAAAGAATTTTTCCTGAATACAGAAGGACTCTAATTAGCTACCATTCAAGAGGAATGTTTTTTCTTTACAACTCAACTCAAAACACAAATTATTTCTACAAATAAACCTCATTTCCTTTCAAATGCAGTGTTATATAGTGGCTTCTTTTTTAATAGTTCAACCAAACTCCTGATTAGCTGCCATTGCTGCTATTGAAGATTTGTAAAATGAACATGTCTCTGAAAGACACTTAACCTGAGGTTTATTTGCACAAATTCCACCTTCAGTTTCCTCTGTCCTCTTCAGTAGAAGAGACATTTTCAATTCTCTCCATAAGGTGCTGTGCCCATAAAAATTAAACCTCTATCATAAATTACTTCTCCTTATCTACTCTTTTCTCTGCTCTGGCACTTATATTGGAGTTGTTGCCACCAGTTTTGCTATTTAAAGCTTTAACAGGATGAGGTAATGGAGGAAAAAATCTTAAGAGCTGGATTATTGCAGGGATATTAGAAATGTGTGACAGCGTATTTTCCGGCTTCACTTTGCGCCCAGATGAGCTGTATGATAAGCGGGTTTACAGTATGTGAAGCCACTTTGTCTCTACTCATGGCCCAATGCTGTCTTGTTTTTTCTCCTCCCATGTCTCATCCCTTTCCCCTCTGTGTTAATGAGAGGAAATGATAGAGCAGACCTAATTTCGACAGACCTCCCTGGGGAGAACGCAGCCGAAATTGCCATTAACGGTTTATTTATACAGCCTCCCCCTCTTTGTGGTACCTGTTGAGCTTTCCCAAAGGTCACTGCGTAGGTGGTAGTCCAAAGGCATAAACACATGCACACATGCAGACACTCCAGCAAAATAGTGTACCCAATAGTGTGATTAATTGGATCAAATCCGCCATCACTGTCTGATGATGCAGCAGAACAGCCCAGCAGCCCTGTGCTGTTGGACAAACAAAAAGAAAAAGAACTGTGCAGCACTGCAGCCTTCCTTCACCGATGCCTGACCAGAAGTGTTGGCTTTTCTTAGTTATGACTGTATGTGTCAAATTATGCATCTCAAATTGTCTGGATGACACGTACACTTATTATTATTTTCTAATTCTTGATGTAATTGTAATTTTCTCTTTAATAACTTTGCTTGTTGTCAAAAATAAGTTTGGTTATTTTTCTATTTTCTAAGTCTGTCCCCAATCAACAGAGAGAATACTTGGCAACCTGCGGTTTATGGACAGGTATATAAATACAAAAAGAAGGGAACCACTTTTACTCTAAGTATCAAAACGGGTATGAAAAACTTCGCAGTTGATTTTCTGTGCGTGTCCGCATGTATAATACTGCTGATGACAAAAGATTGAAAAATGTACGCTCAGTCCCAAACGCTAAATGTCAAGAACCTTATATGACAAACAGTTGTTTTCTTCTTGATCTAGTGCCTGTCTCTCACTACTATTTCCAATGTAAGGTACTTTATATATTTTTGCTTATTTTTATATACGGTGCATAGCAGTCAGTTTTTCATATCCTTTCCTCCTCGGCACATTAATCGTTGGATTCCAATTTGTGTTGGGTCAGAATGTCATAAAGAAGTGTCACAATAAACGCACACGCTGTTCCATTTCAGGGCATGAAAAATGTATAGCGTGTTACATGGGCAGTTATACATCACATGTAATTGCACTCGCAATTCACCTATAGCCCGTGGGCACTCCCATATGTTGTGTCAGTGATATTTATGTAAAGGCAAGTGTGAGGCTAATGTACCATGACTAAAGCAGCATTAGACTTTTTGCTCAGCTCACTGTAAATTCAACTTTGGGAATGGAGAGTGCATACAGCAGTGGCAGTGTGGAGGAGGTACGGTTCAGTTGGGCTTAGATAGATCACCACAACTAAAAACTGCTCACTGAGTCTAATGTAAAGGGAAAGTGTTGTTTGTTTGTTTTTTGTTATGTCTGTGTACTTACTTTCGCCACTCACCACAAGTCTTTATGAGTTGGGCAAATAGAAAATTAAAGCTGCATTGTGAGGGATTGAAGAAGAGGTAGTTGTCTTTTCCAATGTTAAAATAAACCTGCTCTGGTGTTAGAAAAAAAATTTTTTACACTGTCATCCTTGCTAATAAGAGCTCCATCACCAGCTCAGGAATAGGATGTTTGGGTATTTTTTACACCTTATTACCAAGTTTAGGCTAACATTATAAATATGGTTATTTGCCTCACCTGTGTTGCCCCATCGTGCTGTTCAAACAGGAGGGATCTGAGTAGCATGCTGCAGTAGTTCTCTCAACAAATTGGCCATTTTGTTTGCCTCATCTCTTTGGCTAGACAGTCCTCTACTTTAGCTAAGATGCTATCACCAGCGCTCTTGAATGTACCCAGTGTCCATGGAACAGTTAATAGCTTTTTCACAGGCCATGGCTTTTTCACAGTCTTGCTGGGACTTGCTGGAAAAATGTTATGGCGTCAAGTCAGAACAGATTGTTTCTTAAGGTCTATTATTAAATTCTTTAGGACCGTTCCCTTTGCGGCTTAACTGGGAGTAGGTAATCTTTAAATATTTTTTTAATTACGATAATCCACACAATGTACTTTAACTTTAATTTCAAAAGCAGTTGTTCTTGCATTAGACATGGGAGTCAACGCAGGCCGTCAACCTGCTTTGGTCGTATTGAGTCAAAAAGCTATGTTTAGTGGCAGCTCCACCGTATCTCAAATAAAATCATCACAGCAGAACATTGTGCTGATGTTATGAAACAGCGTGAGGCTTTCAGATGGAGACACATCTTTTAAGCTACATGCCACACTCCTCTCTTCTTGACACACTTTGGTCGCTTCAGTCAGAACTCAGCTGAAAAGCTGTCACACAACAGAAGGTTGTTTCCAGGGAGCTAGAAATAATGTGACACATTAGAAGGGAAGTGTACTTGTTCAAGCATGTTCGTGCGCTATCTGCCTCCCATTTTAACTTTTCTCCACTTCGATTTTCAGTTTAATGATGTGGAATTTGGAAAAATTAATACAGTGTTGACTGGATTTCATGGTGGAGTATTTGGAAGTATTTTTTTTTTTAAATTACAAAGAATAATCCCTTTGTCATTCTTAATTGGAGTGTTGGTCTGCAGATACATTTCAACAATTCTGAAATGACAGTGACAACACTTACCCTTCTCTGTGGGCCTCCCCCTTCTCCAATTCCTGAATGACCCCCAGAAGCACCTTGATAGTCTCTTGGCTGGAGCTGATAAGATTTTCCATGGCCTGGAGCTGTGCTTTAACGTCCCTGTCTGGATTTAGAGGCACAATTTGCTTACAGGCCTCTTGTGTTTGGTGGTGTTGTGGCCCACCAGGATCACCAGCTCTGCAGGGAGACACGTTCTCCTCCATACCTCTCAGAGGCCGAGCAGACAGTTGTCCCGTGTGGCACTGTGCCTGTGTGGTACAGCCTCCACCGGAACGCGGCAGTGTCTCACTCTGCAGCCCGTTCAGCTGTAGGCCTTTCTTCCGCTTGCTCCTCACAGACGGGCTGTCCAGGCACTCCACCTGTGTGAGGGAGTTCCATGCGATGGGGCCCGTTACCTTGGAGGGCCTGTCCGGCAGTGTGCGGGTCGAGCCCTCCTCCAGATTGAGCAGTTGCCTTTTGCCTGTGTTAGGCTCTCTGTTTTGTAATCCGGTCCTTGCTTTCGATGGGACACTGCAGAGTTGGTACTCTGCCTGGGCTCCAGCTCCACTTCCTCTCGATGTGTCTGCAAGGCAGTCTGTGTCTGCAGAGCAACTGAGCAGCAGAGCGTCAGAGCACAGGCCATCAGGTGCAGTGTGCTGCTCCACCGTGGCAATACACTCATTAGTATGGAGCAGAGCCCTGGTCCTCCGGACTCCACTCCCCCGGCAAGCTCCCTCCTCCTCCTCCTCCACGTCTAAACCCTGCCCAACAGCCCTGGTCTGCTTCATGTCCATGACAAAACCGTTATTCTGCCCTTTATATGTCTCCACAGCCGACACGTCTTTAAAGGTTTGTCCTTTTTTGCGTTCAAAAGGAAAGGTCTGATAGCGCTTCTTCAGGTCGGGGGACGTTTGCACTCCTGTGCTCCTAGTGACATTTGGGATGGATCTGCGAGCAGGGACTGTCATGTACTTGCGGTACGCCACTTTGTACGAGATGGGCTTGCCACATTTTCCCGCTGCCTGCAACTCCGCTTCCCGCTGTTCGTTCTGTGCCTCACAAATATCCTTGAAACGCACTTGCAAGGCCTTGTTTCGTTTCCTCACCTGTCGACTGGCATCCAGGGAATACTTCACCTCAAGGGCTAGTGAGGTGGAAGGCACGGGGGCCGCCTCCGAGTCAGACTCTGAGTTGGTGAGCATGCATTTGCCACCCTCCTTGCTCACCATGTTTCCTGAGAGACACAGAGAAGAAAGAAAATGTGAAAGTCATTAGTATGAACGGCTAATGAAAAGATTCTTTCTTTACCATCCAATCGTCAGAGCAACATTTTCTCTTTTGGCTTGAGGAGATGGCAGAAATGAATTTTTAATGAATATTTTATCAAAATATTATCCATATTTTACCAAGCACTCATTAAGATTCATTAAATACAAATTATAGAGGAACCTAATTCTGTGTTGTGAATTTACTCACCTTGATAAATGACAGCAGTAATTCAATAAAATATTTCCTTTCTTTTTAAGACTTATTCTGCAATAACAAATGAAGACAATCTCAGTGGTCATTTGGTCACTGTTCACACTAACACTGATGGTTAATGTGATCTGAACAAGTAACTGTGAAGTACTGTAACTGGTTGTAAAATGTCATCAAAAATGACTCGCCCTTAAAAATTCTGTAAATCAAATTTCTCGTGGACAAAAAAAAAAACAAAAACATGTTGCCACCTTATTTTGTTAATATTGTTTGTTATAAATGTATAGAGATAAGACCTTAAACGGCTTATCAAGGGCAGATATCATTAAACAGATACAGTCACCAACTGTATAACTATCCCTTCAGGAAACACTTCCAAAGCTGAGATAATGAAGTATATTCACCCTCTACTACAGGTATGGTGGCAACGTCTCCACTGTGCAGTTTTCCTCTGAGGCCCTGACAGAAATATAATATTCCTCCTGCCTGCTGCTATATAATATGCAAACACTGATTCACTTTCTGAATCAGATACACCAATTATCTTTCTCAGCATATACGCCGTAATGCTTCTGTCAACAGTGAAGGACTGTTTCAGATGTCTTTTTTTGCTCGGCTTAGTCCAGTGTGATGGACGTTGTGTCCAACTGTCATCTCAATTAAACAATCACCCTGGTTCTGGAAGAATCTATTTTAAAACTCCTCCTTTTTGGTCTTGCTACATAACAATAACAAGAGTTTCTCCTCTTCACATCTGCAAGAAATGTGTCATTATCAGATAGTTATAGTTCTTTTTGGAAGTGTTATCATATGTAGTATGATAATTATAATTATAACATTGATGGTCTGCATATTGATGTTTTACTGTTGCTTCCAAATTGTCAAATACTGTGTAGGAATAATCTCTTTATTTACAAATAGAAATATCTCTTATATATTGTCAGTCTCTTGCCAAAGTTTCCATCTTCTTTAATATTGAAGGACTTTTTTTTTAACTTGTGAATTGCAGCCAAGTCTACAGTGCAGTGATTGTTACTGACAGTCTTTCTCTGTAACTGAGGACACTCTGGGTGTCTCCAAATACTGTCAGATACAAAGAAACGCAGCGTGTTTTAAAGTGATGTGTTGGCTTTACTTCTTTTCCACCATAAGTCATTGGGAACGGGAAGTTCTGACCCTCGTGAACAGACCATGAAATAGGAATAGACATTTACTGTGTGGACCGATAGAGAGATGACAGGGAGTCACAGAGGGCAGAAAGAATGAAGACGCTTACTGAGTAATGGGAAGGAAATAAAATGCTGTCATTATGATGAATTGATGGTGAATATAAATCAATAGAGAAGTTCATTTTCATAGTATTACATTAGTTTACATGTATCTTACTGACAAGTGAACACTGTCGGGGTTTACAACGCCACGCTCCATACGCTCAAGTTGAATGAAATTTCACGTTCCAGCTATTTGTTACCGTTTCAGTTCAGACAACTGTAGCGACATTTCCTGCTCTTTCCCAGCTGCGGAAACCACCACGGGCCTCTTGCATAATTACCATGACTCATCACAAATTGTTCTGACAACTGTCCCTTTTTCGGGCAGCGCACTGACCTCCATTATTCTTTCGAGGAGAACAGACAAAAACAGGGCTCACGCTGTCATGTACGCAGGACAGGGCACGTCAGGTCACATCTGACCTTGGGTGAGCAGCCGAGCTCAGACAGCTGTCACGATGGCACGGTGGGTCAATGTTTGGGCTACTCTAAAAGGCGTTCCATTGGTGATTAGAATCTGTGAAACAAAATGGTTCTTTGGAAGTCTTTTCCTGCAAAGCCGTGCCATTGTTCTGAGCTGCAGAGAGCAGCGCGACAGGCCAAAGTCCTGCAATAATGCTATTCATTATTCTTTAATGAAAATGGCCTTTATTCTCTCAGCACATGCTCGTTCAACAAACACAACACACCACCAAAGTTACCCACAATTCTTTGCTTTTGCTTTTGTTATAAGTGCATATGAGTCTGCACTTTTGTGAATAGTAACTGCTTAACTGAAGCGTTGGTTGCTGGGGGGGGGGGGGGGGGGGGGGGGGGGGTGAAATCTCTAAAGGGTGGGGTTTCAAGTTTCTCGCTGCATCCTGTGGAATTAATGTTTACCATAACTTTGAGCCTGACTAATTTCATTTTATCGCTTCTGCTTCACCGGAAGGAAAATTCATTAATATAGTATGCATCACAAAACAGGTGGATTGATTAAGCCCTGCAAAGACGGCTACACATGTCAATTAGCAGCAACAGACTGCGCTGGCTTTTCTTGGTAAATGATTTAAGAGTGGTTTTTACTCAAAGTGCATAGTCACACAGTGTGTTGTCCTGGAGAGGAGGAGGAGGTGGTGAAGGTCGTTGTTATTACGTCAGTTTGCTCACTAAGAAAATAATAAAATTGACGAATACCACTGGTCAAGCACCAGAAGTGCTTCAAACTTTTTATAAATGTGATTATCTTCAAATATAAATGTGTAAATCAGGCTGCTGTTGATTTTTATGTCCTACAGTTATAGTTGACTTTATGCATTTAAAATGAAATGTTGTTGAAAAGTTTAAAAAAAAATCCTGTTTTGGAGGAAAATAGACAAAGCAAAACAATAGACATCATCGCAGCATCGGTGACAATCACCGTCATCAATGTCAACACTGCATGCATCATCATGCATTTTCCCTCTAAATGAGATTATAGTTCACTAATGTGACACCTCTGGAAAGAAAAACAATAAGGCATATGAGGGCACAGGGAAACTGCTGACATCAACAGAAATAATATCATTGTGATTGAATTTATACTTAGTTACTTTTAATAACCACAACAGTAGGGATCATTTTCTGTGGCTTTTATAATGAAGTTTACCATTTTTAAAGACCTTACCCTTCAGAATTTTCAAAATATGCCTTTATCTGTGAGTTTTGTTGAAATGCTTACGAATAAAAATGTACATTTTGTGGCCTACTTTGTGATCTGCCATGTGTGCCTCTGTGCCATTTGATCAACAGCAAAATCCACTTTTTCAAATGCTGCAGTTTTACATGACAGCTAAGCCTGGTTTCAGTCACTGAATGAATCAGTTAGTGCGGCGGCGTCAGCAGAGACACACAAGAACCCACTGTGACTGTCATTGTTCCTTCTGTTTTGTTTTTATCCACCTTTTTCGTGACCTCTTCCATATAATTACACTGTACTGCACTGTACTGTTTGGCCGTCTGACTGATTGGTCTTTTAGGGGCTCTCAGATGAAGTAGAATGCAGAACTGCAGGCTGGCTGTTTGCCGTAGTTTGTGTTAAGGTCGTTAGACAGTGAAGGTTCACCGCTGGGCTTCTGTTGTCTGTCTGCCTCTCTGCTGCGGCCAGCATGTGTGGGATGAAAGGGTAAATATAGCCGGCGATTGACCACACAGGTCAGTGATGAGGCATGACAGAAGTGCAGTCCATTAGTCTGACACCAAATGCTGCAAATCCTTTGTCAGTTAATGGCAGCTTAATGCCACGAAATGGAAGAGCACTGGACATTTTTAAAGGATTGTCTTTGTGGTAATTGTTGTGGACTCCTTCTCTATTGCCACAGAGCATGCTCTGTACTTATACCACAGTATCACCATATAATAATGCACCGATGGATGAATAACACTGCAATCATATTAGGGGAAATGCGTGAGTATTTTTTTTTCTTTTCTAATCCTCACACTAAGGAAGACTCTATGACTAATACCACTGTGATTCCTCAGCAACCTGTTAAATGATAAAGTCTGTCTGCTCTCACATTGGTGCGTCTAATCAACTTAGTGTTTGTTTTGATTCCATAAGTCTGCTTCTGTGACGGGATAAATTTAAATTTGCCATTAATCTGCCGGCGCTCAGAATATCTCCACGTTCACTGTTTTCTACCATATGCACCACAATTACACAAATCCTGTGCATCCATCGGGCTCTTTAGTCACATTTCAAATATAGGTCTGATGTCAGTTTTTGAGCTGAAGTTCATTTAATATAGAAGATGTCTCAGCGTTACTAGAACGCTAAACATCAAAAAGATAAAATAACAAAAACATATATAAGTGTATATATCTGTCTATATATATATAGATAGATATGGAACTAAAAACTAACTAAAAAGTTCTTTTCCCACTAAAGTATTATACAATGTTTATAGTAAACAAAAACTACTTTTGTTTTTTACAATGTCTTGTTTTTTGTACCAGATCTCTAACCTCAGAAACTGCCTTGCCTCTGTGATGAACAAAGCTGCTATATGGTATTACGTTTGAAAAACGATGGCATTTACTCCACAATAATATTTCATAAGGCTGCAGAAGAAAAGCCTGAGGTCATCTTAGGTGGACTGATCCCAAAATTTAAATTCTGATTTTGTTTCCTTTGGTAAATCGACAATGGACATCGTTCAGAAACCAGCACCTGTGATGGTGTGGTGGTGCACCAATAACCATGAAAGGCTTTGTTTTGTATGTCAACACACACAGAGTGTGTGATCATAACTGCAGTCCAGATAAAGTGTGTTTCACCCTGAAAGTCTGTTTCCTCTTGAAGCAAAGAATTAGTCGATAGAGCTGCTCATTTCTTTTCATGGCAAGGTTAAGTTTGGTAGTTTGGAAGTGGAATTTTTCCACTTCCAAACTACCAAACTAACCTTCTAAGCAACAAAAATAAGTATTTGTTCTAGCTTTTTTGAAATGTTTAGCAGGTACCAGTTCAAAAACAAAAAACACAGTGTGAGTTAAACTATTAGGATGGAGTTCCTTAGTGCACTACAAAGAATTATGAAATAAATACTATAGCTTATCAAAAGGTGATCAACTTTTAATAAGGACTCAAGACTCAAATTGAGCCTCCATTAGCTCAGCCTTTGTTTGTGACATCATTAGTAAACCTTTTTCTGGGTATGTCCTAATTGGAACGGCTGTCACGAAACTATGCACGATCAGACTGAAAGGGTTTTCTCTGAAATACCTGCCGTCCTTGAACTGAAGCCTGTAAATATCTTGGTCTTTTTCATTCACCCACTCACGTTGTCATAGCTGCATCGTACGTCTTTCTGTGTTCATTTTTTTCACTAGTCGTCGTCACCTTGCAGTGCCTGCACCTAGTCAACTTCCTGAGCCTTGATGGATTCTTCAGAAAACCTGTGATCCATGTGTGATCTTGCTGTAGATCAAACCTCAGGAGTTGAACGTATGCTGCAGTGGCTGCCTGCTCTAATCAGAATGCACAAGATCACTTCTTTCTTCTCGCAGCTCTTTGTCTTTCTCCAGAACATTATATCTCTATATGTTCACTTTTTTCTCTTTCTTTTTTTTCCCCTTTGATCGTAACTTTTCCATTTTCTATCCCGTTCTCGTTGCTCTACAGACAGAAGAGTTGATGTAGTACTGAAAGATGAAGTCATGGTCCCGTCATGATTTGCCATAAAGTACAACAGGAAGTAACATGTTAACACAGACAGACAGGTCATTTAACCTCCTCCTGTGTAGGCCATCAGTTTGATTTGGGGACATTTGTAGTTTTTGTTTGTTAAATCATCACCTATATAATAAGTCTACTTTAGCCACTTATTCCATTATGCCTTTTGTAACATCTGATAACAAATGTGTTGTTTTACCTAGGTGCAGAAGTGAATGAATATCTAGGGGTTTCCTTACTGTGCCATTATCATTACAAAACAGAAAGGGAACCTGACTCAGTTATTATGTTGCTATAAACCAAACCAAAGAAAATTGATTATTTTTTTAATGGAAATGGCTGTATTTTTTTTTCCAAACAATTTGTGTTCTGATACACATGCTTTATTTTTTTCCTGACTAAATTATAGCCTCTGGTACTGTCACAGCTCCACATGACAAGGCTCAACTGCTTAATATTCTACAAAATTCTACACTGGCATTTAGTTAAAAGGAAAAAAAAACAATTGTGCAGGTTTTCTTCTTCTGCATACAAAAATGCTTTAAAGCACAGAAACACAACATGTCCTTGTTAAAAATAGATGTGCAAGGTTTGTCTGCAAGGTGTTGAGTGGTGCTTCTAGAGAAAATGATCTGTGTGTTAATAAAAAATCCCATTAGCACATGAAAGGTAACATCTGGTTTGTTTCTACAACAGTCGTTCTTTAAATAGGAGAGCAGCGACAGGCCCTTGAAGGGTCTCCATTATGTGCGTATCCTGGCACCTACCACCTTTGGTGTATACGTATACCTCCCTACCTTCGGAGTAGTGCTGTGAACACTGATCTTCTTCTGTGCACTTATGTGTCAGAGAAGCCCGTATTCTTGCGGTTGCTCCTCTCTGGAGAAATACTGGGAAAACATGTACTGATAAGTCTAATCCCTGAAAGTAAAGATTAGCTTTGAAGCACTGGGCCATTGCAAACGTGCCTGGTTCTCACAGAGGCAGTCTGAAGGTTAAAGGTAGAAAGGCAGTGATGGGAGGAAGGGAAACATGTCACGTTCTGTCTGTTTAATCAAGGAGCGTAGATCAAGCCCTGACTTCATTTGCCATTATATTTGATGAGATCTTTATACAATGGATTCTTTGGCTATACTTTCTTTTTGTGTAGCATGTGAGTAATGCTAAACAGTTGTTAAGGACAAGGGGAAAAATGTACTTTTACCCTTTGCAACCTTTTGTCTCCTAATCTTTTATTTTTCTTTAGTGTCTTTAGAAAGTGATGGAGAGCAGAGGGGAGATGGTATCAGAGCAATGATGTGTGAGAAGGTTGGAGGGGAGGCAGGGAGTGATGGCAAGGGTCTGAGGGAGTGACTTGTGTTTTGTACGGCAACAGAAGGACAGTTGAGATATGAGGCATCTACGCAACTCTTTCTCTCTCTCTCTCTCTCTCTCTTTCTCTCTCTCACACACGTACACACCTCCCCTTGTGCAAGCTCTCAAAATTCTACTGGAAAATGGTAAGCCGAGTGCATCCGCTCACCTTGGTCAGTCTTT